AACTGTCATTAACACCTCGGACCAATTATCGCTTAACAAAAACTTGTGTAAAATTGCTGACTGGTGTGGTTATAAGCTACTCAAAAACATGCGCTCTTACAATAACACATATCCTCTTGAATATAAGTATCATGTCCGCGATAAAGTCATTCAATGACGTAAAATACTTAGGTCTAGCTATTAATACAAAACTTAGCTGGGACACCCACATAGACAGTACTTGCACCAAGACCTACGAAAAAGCTGTGTTTTTTAAGAAGGAAATTGGGTGTGTGCAATTGGACTGTCAAACTTTCAGCCTATAAAGCCCTAGTTCGCCCAGTTATGGGATATACGTCAATTGTGGGGGACCCATATTTAAAGAAAGACATAGAAAAGTGGAGAGAATTCAGCGACTAGGTGCACAATTTATTTTTTCTGATTTTAGGCACCTCTCCTCAGTTTCTGAAATGTTGAATAGATGTGGGCTAAACCTCTCGGAAGCCAGGCGGAAATTTGCAAGATTACTTAAGCTTTTTTTATAAACTTTATAATAACAAAACTGATACGGCTTGTATATTCAGCCACCTCCTCAGCGCTCAGCAAGGCTAAACCACTCGAAACATGTTAGACAATGTGCTCCTAGAAATAATCTATTTAAGTACTCCTTTTTTGTGGAACCATTGATGACTGGAACTCGCTGCCGTCAGACTGCGCGAATGCTTCAATATCCAATAGTTTTGACTCCATTCTTATAAACATGTTGTAACCCTCTCCTGCCAGGATGGTGAAAAACAATCTGCAATATTTCCTAAATGAAAACAAAAAAAAAAAAAGAAAAAAAAAAAGGTAAGTTTTTATTGAAATAACGTCACTGCAAAGCCACTTCTTCTCCCGGAACATTGCGACTGTGGTTCAGAGCCATCGGGTAAATAAGGATTTGCTGGAATGCTGCACTCGGACGTTTGTAAGACATCCCCTTCTGATCGCCGTGTTTGCCGACGCCATGCAGCAACGTCTCCTCAACCCGAGTTGATAGCATGTCATGCACAGACGTATGCACGTAGCAAGAAACTTGCACAAGTGCCTGCTGTCGACGCCAAAGTACCGTATTTGCACGAATATAACGCCCTCAAAAAGAAAAAGAATCATTACTATTAGTATCACGTGAGCCAAGGCCGTGTAAATTTCCCGCACTCGGGGGCATAGCAGAAGTGAAAAGGCAACGGAAATAGAAGAAATATCCGTTTGTTTTGACTGCACTCATCTTCACTTCTCAAGTCCTCCTGTTTGCAGTCCACTTGGCGCCTCCGCAGATATGCAGCAGCGCGCTTGTCTGGTAGTTGCTTTTTCTTCTACGTGAGCTCCTCGGCAGCTCAGTCATGATGCGAGACATTATCCTCCACGCGCCTCTAAATCTCGCAGGTTTCACTACAGACACTGAGGAGTATGCGGTTCTAAAGGTAAGGAAACCAGAAGAAGACATCAACATGGTGCCAGTTTACATTCGGCCTAACAAACCCTGCAACGCGGACAACCTTATCGCAGTAGCAACACACACGGAGGGTCACTCGATTGTAGCGGAAGACTTTAACGCACATATTGAAATTTGGGGGAACACCATTGCAACAATGGGGGGGAAGGCAGCTCCTTGAAGCCCTCGACACACTTAAACTTAAAAACATCTTACTCGGCACCCTCGCCCGATCCGGAATCCTCTGCTTACAATCGTCAGCCCCCCCCCCCCCCCCCCCCCCCCTTCAAGCTGTGCACACTCCCACAACCCGACACGTTGGAAAGTGATCACCTGCCCATCCTTATCGGCAGGTGCGCACTTGCCCCCCCCCCCCCAAAAACCTGTAAGGTAGTTAATTGGCAGAAATACAGAAGCACTCTAAATGAACTCGCCGCACACCCCGAAGCACTCATCCCTCAGAACATGGAGTGTGCACTCGGGGCGGCCACCGGGCTTGTCCCCGTCACGCGACCCAATCCCGACCTTCGCTACCTGGAGCTTCGGGCCCAACGGAGGAGGGCCCAACGGAGGAGGGCCCAACGGAGGAGGGCCCAGCGGAGGAGGGCCCAACGGAGGAGGGCCCAACGGAGGAGGGCCCAACGGAGGAGGGCCCAACGGAGGAGGGCCCAACGGAGGAGGGCCCAACGGAGGAGGGTCCAAAAGCACCCATTGCCCACCGAGCTGCCGCAAGACGTCCAGGCGTGCTAGCGCCTCGCCTCATGGTTGCCACAAAACATCTAGTTTTCGTCAGAAATCAAACATATTTAAAATTGGAGTGCGCAAATTTCTATCTCGGTTCTCTGTTCTATTTTGTTGTCCCAGAAGACAACACAAAAATAGTATTTCGTCGTGTTAAAATTGTTTATTTACACCACGATTGATGCAAGCATTCTCTGTGAGCCCGCGGCAAGTTTGTGACTGCAATTGCAACAAACACATCACCTAAATGTCATTTTGAGTTTTCGTCTCGCAGGTCCCATCTTGAATGTCATTTGGCGTAAATGCCATTTTAGGTGCCGTCTGACAGGGGTATGAATAACACAGAGGAAGATACTGAGGTATAGGGATAGTGCCCTCTAGCAACGTTTCAGTAAGGCAAATGATGAATTACCTATAACTCCGGACAAGAACTCGGATGACTTTGTCCTATGACCACAAACATTCTGGTAAGAGAGTGCACTCCATGGTACCTGATTAGCCCAACTATTTTTGAAGTTCCTGCTACAAGTTTGGAAAAGTCCAACTCGGTTCAGCTCAATACTGGCAAGTTCCCAACCGCGAGTAAATTGGCATTATGGAAATGTCATAGTTCGTTGGTAGCAGTTGTTTTCATGATATGGTACGAATATTTTGTGTGCTTTTTTCGCAAAAAATGAAATTAAATGCTTTATATTTTCTAATGCAGTTTGTTAATTATGTGATCCATGTTGATGATAGTATTCGATTATTGCGAGCAGAACACTGGCTGCTAAGTTTCTTGCGCAATTTTTGAGCTAACAAAGACACCCATTGCAGTCAAAGGCCTTTACAACGAACGCTTTTACTAGGAAAACACCGTTTAATGAAGTAAAATAAAGTCCTGGCCAGTCTCTTTGTGTTCAATGTGTTCCTCTGACAACTAGGAATTCCTGCTTAACAAATATCTCCATTTAACGAAGCAATTCGCGACTCTACAAAACAAAAATGACCGGTATTACAAATTTTCTGGGTGAAAAGTAATCGCTTTTACGTAAATTGTCGCTCTTAAGTGGCGCGCATAGAGAACAATTGACACTGTCGCCTCCGTCGCACGATCATGGTTTTGGGTCCAAATAATTCGTTAGTGCGCAACCATGTGTCCAGATTGGGGTCTCGAACACGTGGCCCGCAAGTATCGTGCGGCTTTGAGCTTCCCTTGCCATGTCTCGAGTGCTACATGCACCATAAAAATATAGTTTATATCATCCATTCATTTCTGCTCGTACAATGTGTTCAGATATTTTACAATATTCTGTTTTCTTTCGGACTGAGTAATGCTTCGTCTAAATATTTGCTTCTCAGCCCTTCCTCATGTAGATCAACTGGAATGACAATACCACTATACTAGGCTACAAGCACAAGCTTTGCACAAAGAGGGACCTCTGCTACATGAACTCAGCGGAAGAAACTTAAAGCTGCTGAAGCCTCCGGTCGTCAGAAAATATTGTTAGGATACGAGTCTTTTCTTATAATTCTGCTAGAAAAATTGGATGAGGAGGTATTTGTTTCCGTGACTTATGAGCTTAGTGAATTGTGCTATATGGCAACGACAGTGCGATTGCTTTTGTTCTAACGAAAACTGCCAGCACAATGGCATTTTCAATCCTATCGGGTCAGCTGTGGGCCCAAAGGATATGCAAATCAAAGCAACTCCGGCAAAAGAGCGAGCTTACAAAAAGCAGCCAACACGAGGTCCCTTCTCTAGAAAATTTGTGTGGTATTGCTGGGAGAGTCGGCTGGTTTCCAAACTGAAACAGCATTGCGGGCCTTGTTTGTCCCAAAATACCGAAATAGTGCCCCCCCTTTTCTCGTTGGCCCTCAACCTTTTGGGCTAGACTAGTCTGCAGTAAGGAGTGCCTGGTGTCACTGTGCCAGTGGCAGTACTAGCAGTATGGCTAGCCTGGTGTCTTTAAATTGCGTCGCGCAGTGTGAGTACACAAACGTTGCCTATGCAGTTTTCATTTAGAAAAAAAAGTTATCGAGCGCATCATCCTGGATTCTGCAGGGCGAGGTGGGATGCTCTAGTAGACTTGGCCTTTATCCCCCATTTTGATAGTCAATTGTCAATATACAAAACCTAGTTTCTGACGTCGCGCATGTACGTCAACGTGCGATAGCACGAATTCGGTTTCGCACGATTGATTTTTCGCCCTCAACTACTACGACAAAGTTTCCTGTACTACGAAAAATTCCTCCGGTCCCGCAGACTTCCTTATAAAGGCGTTGCACTGTTGCACCATTGGCCCCTTCCTCGGTATTTGCAGATATATAAATTTTCTTTGATTTGATGATTGAAAATACTTTCATTAATTATTTTTGACAACTCGAAGCGATTTGTGAAATCGTTCCCGAATGTTTTCTTGTTTTGCAGCTTAAATAGGAATTTTTTTTTGCAGAGCTTGGAACAGTTTTGGGTACCACGACATAAGATGATGCGAATGAGCAGTAACTCCCCAATTGAAGTGCACATTTTGTGGGAACATGAAATTGATTTATGGTGGCCCTTCTCGCCGTCAAATGAGATTGTCAAGAAGGTGCCTCGGTGAATGAATCTATGCCCAAAGCGATTGTGACAAAGTATTTTCCCCCACCACCATTCTGAAAGGTACGAAGGAGTCCAAGGGGCCTGGGTAATAAATGCCCCCTCTCCCGAAAAAGAATTGGCGCCATGATTTTGTTGCGAGTGGTTGGAGCGATGAGGGGCTTCTATTTGGCTGTCGATCTCCCATTTGAAAAGGCGTCCCAAAGGGGGTGTTTGTCCCTGCAGACTGGGTCCGGGAAGACGTACACGATGGGCACTGGGTACGGCCTGAACCTGAACGAGCACGAGCGAGGCGTCATTCCCCGGGCGGTGGATCACCTCTTTGCCGGCATTGCTCGGCGCCAGGCAGAGGCCCGGGAGAAGGGGGCCCCTGTCCCGGACTTCAAGGTGCACGTCCAGTTCATGGAGGTAAGAACTCTAGGCAGCAAAAGCTTTTATGCTCGGCCTCAACTACTTTGCGCTACGCCGTCAAAGCTGCATCTTGCGTCTCTTTCGCTCGAGAACACTCGCAAATGACACGCAAGATGACGCCACATGCTCTCACCAGTGCAAGGCGGCAGCACTTTGGAAGACGTGCTAGCCTTACACAGTGCGATTCACTTATAACAATACCACATATAATGGTGCACTGCTTATAACGATCGGTTTTTAGAGCTTCTAGTCCAAAACCGATCAGATTCTAGTCCAGATGCATTGATAATCGGTTATAACGATTCAAGTTTCAGGTTTTCTCTTTCGTTTTAAGTGGATTGCACTGTACACCCTTTACGGTAACTTTGCTCGGGTGCCGCCATCTTGAAATCGCTTGACCCTGTCGCCGTGGCTGACCTTCAGTTTCTCATCGGTCTCTAATATGTGTGGACTATATGAGAAGGGTCAACAAGCCTTGGTGCTAAGGCAGGCGACCCGTGTGTTGCGCCCTGCGACAATGTGTATAAATCCTCGTTGCACGTGCAGCTGCAACTTTTGCTTTTCTCTGCACCTTCTCTGCCGCACAGCTGCCATTTTGTTTCCGAGGGATTCTGCAGTTGCAGATTTGCCTAGTGCCATACAAATTTGCCGAAGTTGACAATCTAAGGTGCATTTTTAAGATCAGCATATCATAGTCTTGTACGGCGGAGGCAAAATTAAGAGGGGGCCTGGACTTTGTAGAGATGGACGGTCAGCCAGACAGGTGGGTGGCAAAACCACTACCCCCCACTGTGGGCAAAGCCCTGGTTGCAGGATATCAAAATGTAGCGAAATAAAAACTCTTTTCAATGATATGTCGTTTAATTTCGCGTATGGGCCCCACTCGTCTCAAAAACCTCATATTAAAAAAAAAAAAAAAATTTAAGCTATTTGCGCTTTTTTTTTTTGAGGCGTGCCGACCACAGTGTGCCGTGCGCTCTGCATCTCCACTATATTTACTCTGCCATGTATGCACCCCTGCTCGTGCTTTTTGTCGCGTTGTGAAGTGCAGATAAGAAAGAGTATGGTATAAAAGTTTTGGAAATACATACCTTTTTATGGTTTTCGTATCATCCACGGTCGCCTTCTGCCCGTGTGATCGTAGCTGCTGGGAAATCGGGCACTCGGGTTTCCAAACGTGCTGCTTCGCATTGCATACATTTTTTACACATCCTTGACCTTGTCATTTTGTGCTTTGCTCTTGGGGCGCTCTGCAGGAAAGTAGTCTGAACGAATCCCTTTCTTCTGCATGGTGCCATGGCCTCAGTGGGGGAATAGGGGAAGCATTGTGTTCACACCTGGCGGTGGATGCAAGTCAAGCGCACAAACTCCCATAGGGAGAGGAGCGTCTATTTAGTGTGCGCATTGTTCTTTGGGGCAACCCAGTCCCGAAGGTTGAGGATATGTGCGTATCAAGGGGCTCGGTCCTTTAGGCTTGCAGTCCGAGAGGAGGCGCCTGGACGTAGTACACCGTGCATTCAAAATAATTTTAGAACGAGTCCAACCGGTTAGTCTTGTAGCTTGTCCTAGTTGACCCCAACCGGGAAGGATTTGACTCCCAATGAGGACTGGCTGATCCAGCCCCGAGGGGTCCCAGTTGGGGCCAGATGGGATTCCAACTGGTTCTTCAGCTGGGCTGCATTTCTTTCTCCCAAATGATGTCTTGATGGGTCTGGACTATACTCGCTTAGGCACTTACAATATGTCCCTCCCGATGGTCATTTTGGCCACTCCACAGTGTGTGGTAGCATTTCATGACGAAGGACCACGAAAGGAACATTTATTCTCCTCTCTGCATAGAAAGCTATAGTGTTTTGCAATCAAAATGACTCTCAGCATATTGAAAGAATTTGCTCCCTTAAATGTTTGTTGGCTCTCTTCTCTAGCTTTACAATGAAGAAATCTTCGACCTCCTGAACTCCGGAAAGGACGATCGGGTAAGTGTTGCTTCTGGTTTCCTCGGGGTTGGAATTGACTGCTGTCGGACAATTTGATTGAATGCCTCGTGTCTAAGGTTGTCAACCGTTTCCTCTTTTGGATCCACCCTGGGGTGGGTTAAAAAGATCCGTTGGTGGATCCCTAGGGAATGCATTGGGAAACGCGAGTGCTGACCTCTTTTCTCTTTTGGCTTTCACTTTTGCTTCCTCTATTTTTCGCTCCCTCTTTCTGGCTCTGTTACGGGGTCAGTGTTGGCGTTCTCCAAAGTGAAACGTGTGTGGCTGCGCTAGCTCGTTCCCCAAGGAGGTGAATCTTCCTTCCTCCTTGACCCAGTGCTAGTACTTGGTTCGCACTCCATTTTGTGGCACGAACGAAGGCACACACCTGCAAGTTGAGACCCTCTTCACTCCTCTCCTCTCTATGCACTTCCCTTTCCACTGTTCTGTCCACAGATGGACGCCATCAGCTCTTCCCTGTCATGTGGGTACATTATTAAAGGGGCCCTGCAATCATATTTAAGCCTCTTCCTTTTTTTGCGGTTTCCCTGTCTCTTGAGGTTTGGGGAAGCCTGCGAGCACGGAGAGAGTAACCAAATATCAGTGTGTCATATTTTAACCGGACGACGCGGAAACCTCCTCCATCTATGGGGGTGACCCACGGTACCGAAAGCGCGCGATATGTGACGTCTTTGGTCCTCGGCTCACTACTGGTCAGAGCCGCTAAAAGCTTTTTAGTCGAAATACAAAATATAAGTGGCGCGAACTGTTTCAATTATTTATAAAAGTAGTTTTGGTTCAGTATTTTACATCAGAAAAGAAACAGATGCAGTTTATAAAGTACGGAAACAAGAAATGACCCGTCGCATACTCGCCACCAAGCGGTGGAAAAGGCGGCGCATACCAGAAAAGAGTAGTGGGATCAGGCGCCGACACGGAAAAGTCCCGGATATACGCGGCGGCGCTGCGGTCGTAGGGACTGGATGATCCCACCGGCTACGAGCGTTCCGAATGCCTTTGGCGAGCAGCTCTGTCTGGCGGTTTGACCATTTCGCGGTATGGCAGCGCAAAGTGGCTCCCATTCTGAACTGATCTTTACCCCGTGTTTGCTGTCATTTGTGGCCAATGAAGCGTCATGTCGAATTAGTGTTTAATCGCGCAGCAAATGCAATGAGAGCCGCTCTGGCTGCCCGCTGCATACAGCCTATCCAGACCATGCTTTAGTGGTGCCCTCTCGCGCCGTCGACACGGAGTGCGGCAGCCGTGAGCGCTCGCATGAGCTCACTACCCCTCCTCTAGTTCACGGCCACTCAAGCAACCGAGGACGTCATGAAGGAGGTTATTTCTTGCTTGTTTTTGTAATCTTAATTTGCCTATAACTTTTAAAATAAAGCAAAATTCGAGAAAAGAAAAGTTGAATTAAGTTACTATCAATGCGCTCAGGTTTGGTGCAAATTAAAAATTGGTAAAAAAGTCATTGCAGGGCCCCTTTGAGGGGCTCGCACTGCACTCATCCACATAATCGGTGCAGCTTAAAGGACACATGCAAAGAGCCGCCTCGGTGGCTCCGAGGCGAGAGCGCCGGCCTACGGATCCCCAGGTGGCGGGTTCGAATCCCGACCGAGGTGCCCGCAATATGACGGAGGCTTATTGCGGAGAAGGCGCCGTGTAACCGAGCTTTCGGTTGCACGTCAAAAGATCCCCAGGTGGTCGAAATTAATCCTCAGTCCTCCGCTGGGGCGTGCCAGATGCCCGTCGTAGGTTTGGCACGTAAAACCCCCAAATTTTTGGACACATGCAAAGGAAAAAAACATTTTTTTTTAAACATCTTAGATGGAAAAAGAATGTCATAAAACGATTTTACAACAAAGAAAAAAAAAATTATTAGAGCTATATTTACGGCGCTATACGAATTTGTAGTTGGCGTCGCGGGAGCCGCCGCTGGTCACGTGGTAGGCCCGCGCGCCGCCGAGCTGCGTCGCCGGCACCGCAAAGTCGCGCTGCCGCCGCACGCTGAGCGTAGGGAGGCTCTAGTGAGGGTGGGCGCAACTCAAAACCTGGAGAGCGTTTGCAATTTAATGGCGGCGCCTGAGGGAGAGGATTCAGGAAAGGATATGCGCCAACGTTGCCTGCACGAGAGCAGGCGCCCGCTCTGTTGCAACTCTGTTGCTCCATGCGCCTTTCCTCCTCTCTCCTCCCATTGCAAGCAACGAACGCCTTGGCGCAGCCTCTCTTGCTTCCTTCTCAACCCGGGAATCGCAAACGTCGAGCGGAGAAAGCAGGGTTGCCAGACAAGCAGCAACGTCCAAGATGGCGGAATTTACCATTTTTCGCGTTAAAAAAATACTTAACCTATCGTAACAAAACTGGTGGCTATGGAAAAGTAATCATTTATACCTTGTGTAAATTATTCAAGCACCTTAATGGGCTTTTATGACCCGAGTTAGGAAAGAAAACGACCCTTTGCCCCATAGACTCCCAGCAAAATTTAGCAATTAAATGGCGTCCATGTCGCGTGATCGCCGATCTAGCAGTTGCACCCACCCTCACTTGAGCCTCCCTAGCTGAGCGTTGTGCGAACGCCGCTTCAACGCGTTTCTCCACGCCGCCGCCGCCGCCGCCGCACAAGTTCGTCTGCTTCGGGGCGCCGCCGCCGTCGTCTGACCGGCGCAGAGGTCTATCACGTCTGCTTGCGCTTTTTCAGGAGTTTCCTTTGGGCTCTAAAAGTTACCTATTAATCTTAGTTCTTTGTTATACTTCAAATAAAGATGAATAAGTTACTTTTGGACGTCATACGAAGCTTCCCAAAGAACGCAAGCACCACGTGATAAATAAGGGCCAGTCACGTGATAAATAAGGGCCACTTTTCTGCGGCGCCGGCGGGCGCCAACTACAAATTCGTATAGCGCCGTAAATATAGCTGTAAAATTTTTTTTTCTTGGTTGTAAAATCGTTTTATGATATCCTTTTTCCATCGAAGCTGTTTAAAGAAAATGTTTTTTTCCTTTGCGTGTGTCCTTTAAATGTTGCAAAACTGCCTATCGGGTAGCTTCTTTAGGAACCAGATGGTGTGCAGCATAAGTATGCATGATTTGAAAACTAACCAGGGAGTGTTCCAAATTGAGCAGTGCTGGATTTCATTCTGTTCCAATCTTGATTCAGGCTGATCCATGTGTGTCCCATTTTGGAAATCTCCAGGGAAGCAAGTCTGGCATCAAAATCCACGAGGACGTGAAGGGCGAGATCTATACCATAGGAGTGGCCACTAAGACCGTTCAAAGTGCCGAACAGGTGAGACTTTAATTTTACGGCTCTTCCCTCCCCGGTGAGGTCCGACGTCGATGTTGCCAACCGCTAGAAGGCCGCCTGCCACGCTTGTTCGATCCTGGGTCTGCTGCGTGTGAAGTGAGCATGCTACCACAGGGCAACGCCCAGTCGTGGGTACGTTACTGCTAAAATAGAAGTGTTGGTTACAGTTACTCGGGCCAAAAAAGGAACCTTGTTACAGTTAGTTACTTTGCTAAAGTAATGCCGTTACTTCGACGTTACTTTACAAAAAAAAAGGAGAAAACATTCGAAAGGAACCTTCCTTAATATGTCTTTAAATTAGCATACATTCCTTATAAGACATTGTGTTGTTCATGGTAGTGAATCATAAAGGTTTTCTTAATAATCAATATCAACATGCTTAATTCTTCTTATTTCAATATTTACCATGAATAGCTCCTTGAACAAGATCATAATTTAAGGCAGTATCTGACTAAATCCACTATATGATAAGGAATTTATAGTCTCTTTCTTGTCAAAATTGAAGGCGACTAGTTTTTAAAAATTTTAACATAGCAGATACCTGATCCGTGAAAAACTTTAGAAATAAGCATACCTCGGCAAACCTCACTCATGAGGGCCCTCACTCACCCTCACTCACCCTCATCTTCACAGGTGAGGTGAGGGTGAGTGAGTTTCTGAACCAGGAAAATTCATGAGGGTGAGTGAGGGTGAGTGAGGGTGAGTGAGGGTGAGTGAGGGCCGTGAGGGCCGTGAGGGCCGTGAGGGCCGTGAGGGCCATGAGGGCGGTGAGTGCGTGAGGCGCCCTTCAGATCGAGCATCTTTCTCAGCAATTTTGGTGTTAATGGCGGGTTGTTCTCTAGCTTTCCCTAGATCGACACGAATTGCTGAGATCGGGTCCGGCTCGAAATAAGCAAGCAACTCTGAGCAATTCGAATACGTTTGAAGCGGCTGCATCCAATCAGGGACGCAAAATTTTCACGCGATACCTGGTGACGGTGATGATGACACCCAAAGACTTGGTTCTGGTTTGAAATCGATCGTTCTTTTTGGAAATAAACTGTTTCAGAAATGTGCATTAGTATTCTTAACGAGATTTAAATGCATAAAAACACGTTTATAATGCGTAATTGTGTCTAAATAGTGCAAGAAAAATAAAATTTTATGATGACGATGGCAAATTGCAGCAATTGGTTGCTGCGTGTGATCGCGGGCGGCCCGTGTTGCTGGTGTTGCGACGTAAAAGTTTTTGGGCGAAATTGCCCCATCTGAAGCTGGCCTGAGTGGCGTGAGGGCCATGAGTGACGTGAGGGGCGTGAGGGGCGTGAGGGGCGTGAGGGGTGTGAGGGCCGCAAGGGCCGCAAGGGCGGTGAGTGGCGTGAGGGCGGTGAGTAGCGTGAGGGCGGTGAGTGGCGTGAGGGCCGTGAGGGCGGTGAGTGGCGTGAGGGCGGTGAGGGCCGTGAGGGCCGTGAGGGCGGTGAGTGCGTGAGGGCCGTGAGGTTCATAAACGGTGAGTGAAGGGCTGAAGGTGAGTGTAGCTGTGAGGGTGAGGGTGAGTGAGGGGCCTAGGTGAGTGTGGCTGCGAGGGTGAGGGTGAGTGAGGGCGACCTAAAATGCCGACCTCTGGAAATAAGCGCGGCCACCATAAGGTATACACACACAAAAAAAAAAAAAAATAAATAAATAAAAAGACACGCGTTTAGATCTTGGTTGGTTGCCATGTTTTAATTATTGTATTTCTCAACCAGAGAGATTTCTCTCGAATGTTTAGTTTCAAGTCCAGATCTTGTGTACTATATCCAATCATGGTGTGACTTTACTATCGGTCAATTCTAATATCTTTGGTGAGGCAAAATCAGATGCAATTCATAAAAATTGTGCAAATGTGAAGTCAATAATAATCTGATACCTTGCAATCATCTTTGTAGATGTTTTCTTATGCCACTCCCATCCACTTGTCAGTCGAATCGTTTTCTCCTGCGTGCGCAGTAGAAAACAGTCTTTCATCTTTCATGAAGCTTCCCTTGAAAACTTGGGGAGCAATGTTGCGGCAAGATTTCTCCATCAGAATAAGCACTGATCGAGGTGCCAACAACCACCTGCATGTAGAATTCCAAACAGCCGTTGCAATCTTTTCTCCGCCACTTTGTTATCAGGTCAAACACATTTATGCTCCTTCATCTCCCCATCCGAAATAGAAGAGACGACGTGAATATCTCTAAATGAACTGATGCCAAGTGCCCCTGGTCCCAGCTAAGGGCGGTCTTTCAGTTTCAAGAAAACTCACAAAGAAGCAGAGCGACGCAGACGTTTTGAGCAAGTACCGTTTCTCAAGTTGCTGGACCCGAGAACAAACAACGAGTGGGTGACGGGAGTGAAGGCCGCTGATTGGGTCGTAAAAACAAGGAATGGAGAGAAGATGGGCCTGAAGTCGAGAGAGTGCCTCTGGGAGTTGGGCGATTCAAATTAGAGGGGAAGGAAACGTGTGCTTGGCGGCAAGAAGACGAGGTTCGGGTGTGCCGTAAGCCTCCGGGGGGCGTTTGGGGCGACAATCCCCATAAACTGTTCTCTGCAAAAGGCTCCCTCCGCCGGACAAAGAAAAAAGAAACGCTTTAGAGATGCTTTGTTACATCTGCATGCGCCGTGGGCAATGTACCCTACATGGCCGATACGTTGCCATCCTCCAGTTGGCAGGACCAGCCTGGCCAAGCAGGGTCACCCAAAATTTGGTTTTCTTTCTTTTGGGGCGAAGCTCCTTAGGGTCTAGCCTTGTCCATCCAGAGTCCATGCTCAAATCGATTGCCATCCCATCTGTCTTAAGAAAAGAAAAAATGTTTGCTCAGTCGACAGGATTCGAACCTGTGCGGGGAGACCCCAATGGATTTCTAGTCCTTAACCACTCGGCCACGACTGCGGGACGAGTAGGGGGCTCTGAGATGGGGTAGTAACTCAAGAGCTGGGGATGTCATGGATGAAACGTTGCATGTAGCCGCTCAATGTCTATACAGGAGGGGGCGCTGTGGTCAGATGCGTATATAATCACATTAAACTTTGCATGTATTGGCTCAACGTTTATAGACGAGAGGGCGCTGCAGTCAAATGCTCAAATGCGTATATAACCACGTTCCATACCACACATTCTCTTTCTGACATGGACCGTTGGCTTAAGCGGTGGAGATGCGTTCCCACAACTTCTGGCGGATCCAAGCTGATCTGCTAGAAGAATCACTGGCTCTGCATTTCACCAACCATAAAGCAGTAATAATGAAGTCGAAATGCATCCCGGAACTCAGCACTACCTATGAGCAATAAAAAAAAAGAATTGGCATCATCAGCACTACCTATGAACAAAATCAGTATCATCAGCACCACCAGAGCTTTGCCCCAATCAACGTCATTCAGCACGTCGAGATGCAGTCATTTTTTTTTTTTTGTCGTATGCTTGACAGTTGCATTTTGCATACAATTTTGGGAATCAGTTGGCAATGGAGCGGAGTGGCATGGTTTCGGTTTCGATCGAACAGCCATCTCCGCTTGCGCGACGAAGCACGTACAACTGCAAGCTTGCCGAAGTTGCCCTCATGTGCATGCGAACATGACTGCACCAGCTGGGACGCTTGTAGTTCATTGTCTTACGTTTGCTTACTTTTGATGAAAATCTGGCGTATCGGGAAACAGTAAAACGGTGGCACCCGGTTTATCGGAATTGCTCGGCAACGCCTACAGCACTGTACACTTGTGGGATGTCTCAATGTCTTTTTGGAGACATTGAAAGTGGACATTGATTACTAGCCTTGCACCAGCCATGCAGAAAGTTTTGAAAAGCAAAAAGAAAAGCACCCGCTAGTCGTAATGCACCTTTGTCTTGTGTACAATTTTGCATTGCACTGCAGTAGTTAGGCGTTTCATCAGTTTGATGCCGCTTCCATTTATTATATTATATAACTAAACCCATTTTCACCTCAAGAAAAAGCAGGTTTTGCGCAATGTTCATACGCGGCGCGAAGTAGTTCTTGCGAGATTTGGTTGTTGGAGGAAAAAGCGATGGTTTTGGCGTTTGGAACGTGTACGTCTTGATAAGATAACGTATACCTAGTCTACGATTCACCTACATATATCTTAATTCTCTACATAAACAGGGAAATCAGTAATACTCCTGGAGAACCCGGACTTTTTTTACTACGGTTCTTGAGGTGAAAACGGGTATAGTCAACCTAATGCTGCGATGTTTACTTGTAAGCAGGTCATTTTCAAATAAATTTGAATATGTGCAGTTTGGTCCTCATTTATCTATAGCGGGTACAATTTAACTGAAGCGTTGCAAAAGGTGTCCTGTCTTTGGCATTTCAGTTACAAGTTGAAAGCCCCCCAGGTGGTCTAGCTTGACCATAATTTGTTTATTGCAGCGAGCAAAGTGCCCTTCGTTTGTCCAGCACTTAAAACAAATAATTTTATTTTTCTAAGAACATCTGTTCCAAAAGCTCCTTTTGCTGCTCTGAAACACTGTCTTGGCTGCTCCAAAGGTCACTTTTGCTGCTCCAAAAGACTGTTTGGGCTGCTCCGAAAGGTGCTCCAAAACAACTTGGGCCATTGGCATCGTTGTCAGCGAGAATGGAGGTACTCTGGGGGGCCTGCTTGGATAGGCTTGGGCTGCACGAGCGTTTGCTAGCCAGGGCGCTTGAAATGAATGCTGGTGCACTTAATAGGTTATCACTCGATTCGGTTTACGGAATATGTTGCCGATAGGAGAATGAATGGGCCCACCGAGGCCCTTGCTGGTGCGCTGCATTTGCACCACGGGTGTTTCGTGGTGGTGTCCTTTTCCGGTCCTTGGCTTTTGGGTTGGGAGGGGGACCCACTTCTTGTTCTCAATGGGACGAGTGCTGGGCCTTAATTCCCTGGTAGAATCCCATGCCCTATTTTTTTCAACGTGAGCTACGATAGATTTTTCGTCCGAAAATCGAAACCTGAAAGGACCGAATTGGTGGGAAAAAATAAAGCCGGAGAAACCACTTGGAAGAAAGGTGGGAGCACTAGGCTTTGAAAGTGGTGCCCGAGTCAGAATAACATGGGGCTCGTTTTGCTCTGCAGGTGATCAAGTGCCTAGAATCGGGGGCCCTCTCTCGCACCACGGCCAGCACGGCGATGAACGTCCAGTCGTCCCGGTCCCATGCCATCTTCACCCTGCACATCAAGCAGCAGCGCGTCGTCACCCTACCAGTGAGTGACCCTCCGCCAGGCATTGGAAGCTCTTGTTCACAATCAAACTGTATGCAAGGGGTACCACACTTCTTTGGAATTTTTGTTTTTGCTTCGAAGGAGGTTGACACTTTCGGGGATTGCCTTGCTTTGCGACCACTCCGTCTAAAGCGCATAAATGCGGAGGGTGGCCTCCACAATTCCTAACGAGCCTACCGGTGTTGAGTCTAGTACCGCCATATTTTCCCCAAACCCTAACAAAAGTGACGAGGGAAGGGTAATCTCTTGGCAACAAATAATCGTAAATCTCTGAAGTAGCGAAACAGAAAAAAAACAAAAAAACTTCTGCTGCTTGGCATAAAGCCGGCTAACACGGCATACGTCTTGCATTTCTGTTGACTTGCCTGTGTTGACATATTTGGATCTGGTGAGTGTATCTTCATGCAAAGTATGGACTTGGGTTAAAAAGTGTTTTTTTTTCCGCTTCTGCCTTTTAATTGTGAGTGATGGAAACGCTGCTCCATTTGTGCCGAATTGCGCCACGAATGAGTCTGCTACGTCTTGCACTAAAGTGCCACTTTTTCTAAGAACTGCGCCACACTTGCACTGAGGTGGGCTTAAGCAAATCAAAAAGTAAACACGTAATATTGGTTGATTCGGAGAAGTAGGACACAAAAAGTTGAGAGCACAGTCTAAAAGTGTGAGCCTAGGGGCTCGTACAGATGGACGACAAATGCCATAATGTAGCGGTGCTGTTTCATTGGTCCTAGTCTCGTAGACTCTCTTGTACACCATACAGCAGAACAACCTGAAGCTGGGATCCTGAAGTTTCTTGATTTATGCATACATGTAGAACAGGGTCTGTGCTGGGAGTACGGGAAAAAAGCCGCTAAATCGGTAATAGCGGGAGTTGTTAAACCCTCGACAACAAATTTGTTGCGCAAATTGTGCTCTAGGGGCAATGCAATGAGGGGACAATGGATGAGGCTAGAAGCTGCAGGATATGAAGAGGAGTTCATAAAAAGGCAATAGGAATTGAAGTTGAAAGATGGACATCAAGGAACAAACAAGGAAAACAAAAAAACCAGTCATCCCATATTTTCACAAGATCACTGATGGCAGAAACGTTTGGGGTAGACATAGTATTCTATTGAGGTTTCAAAAGGAGCAGGTGGATGGCATTTCAGTCAAACCATAGAGGCTGCCAGAAGGCTCATCAAGACCCTCAGTTCCTAGCGTAGAGTGTCTGGTGTACGAGATACCGTTAGCACGTGGGTTCAAGTATGTGGCACAAACCTTGCGATGCATGAACGACAGGTTATTAGAACATAAGACAAATGTAAGCACAAATGCGTCAAACTCAGAAATGGCAAAGCACATTTGGGAATGCAACGGTTTTATTGCTTACTGGTCAGAGACTCAAGTCCTACACGAAGAGCGAAATGACATAAAGAGAGTCGTTAAAGAAACAATAAGGATAAAGTCTATAGGAAGCTGCATAAGCCGAGCCTCGATGCAACTTGGAAGCCACAGCAAAAAGTTCCTCAGATTGTAAACGACACCCTAGAGTTTTTTTTTTGTGTTTTTTTTTTCTAAAGAAGGAAAGATGTTTGAAGCGGCCGGGTACAAAGTGCAGTAGTCGCCGTGTTCCCGAGGTGACCCAGATGTAGGCCCTGGAACCCTCTCCCGTCCTCGATGATGAGGGCATTGTATTGTGGGTGGGACCGTTGGTTTTCTTGCGAGTGTGTATGCTCTTTGTGTTTTGAAAGTGCTTTCAACAAAGGAGATCTCTGCATAGAAGGTAGTTGAGGGTGGCTGTGTGGGTAATTATAGGATCCTTTAGAAGTAAACCAGTTCGCTGAGTCTGTTCCTCAGACGAAAACTTCCTTCCTTTTCTGCACCAGAGTTTTCAACGACATGATTAGCTACCACCGGCTGGCGTGAGCACTTGGCCTTTTCACTTATAGGCCCTCTTTTTTTTGAAGCAGACCATGGAGTGAACATTGGAGAAGTTCCAATGTTCATTCCATGGTCTCACCCGTAAGAGTGGTCCGGATTTGGTTGTGGAGGCGGCTTGAAGCTGTTCTCTCGTGCCGGTCCGATAGTCGTTGAGGATTTTCTTTTTTCGGTGCCTATGAACTTGCACAGTCGCCAGATGACCAAACCATGTGGAGTTGACAAACCTGTGTCTGAGCACGTTCCGACGTACGACACCTTTGATTTTATCTATCTGTTGTCCAAGCTTCCAGAGAACGAGTGAGAAAAAACTCGTGGAAAGGATGGCAAGTTTGCATCTTGTGCAATATTAATGAACTGAGTGTAAGTGTGCAAACCCAGCTAAAAAGTTCCATTAAATTCAATTGGAATTACAACCGGTTTTAACTGGAACCAATTGGTTGTAGTGGGTTCCAACTGAAAGCACACTGGCCAATGGGTCTCACCAATTGAAATTATTTTTCCAGTTGGAACCTGAATGGGTTCCAAATGGTTCCCATTGGTTCCTGCAGGCTCCCATGGGCGGTGACCAATTGGTTGTCCAAAAACCCAATTGGTAGCAATAAGATAATTCCAGTTGGAACTTGATGGGAATTTTCACCTGGGAAGGAGCTGGTGTACATTGACCGTGACAAAAAAAAAACAACAAAAAAACCCAGACTGCAGATAAAAAAGTAGACAAGCACTGAGATTTTAATTTTTCTACACGTGTTTAGGTGAGAAAAAGAAAAGGGGAGAGATGAAGCGGCCTTTTTGCCCAACTCGCACGATGGACAGCAAAGAGGGCTTGAGACACCTGCAGGGTAGGGCCAATGTATTTCTTTGTTGTCCAGCTGCTGGAAGGTGCGGAGGAGGAGGAGGACGGTGGAGAGGCCTTGAGCGAGTTTGAGACCCTGACGGCCAAGTTCCACTTTGTGGACCTGGCCGGATCGGAGCGGCTCAAGCGAACTGGAGCCACGGGGGACCGGGCCAAGGAAGGCATCTCCATCAATTGCGGCCTCGTGAGTCTCTACATCTTTTCCTCTCTTGCCTGGTGCTCAGAGCTACCATTGGACTCGACAGTTACGGGGATCAAAGAAAGCGACATAGAGGCTGAAGACAGAATATTGTTTTGCCAGGCATCTCCTTGGAGCAGATAAGCAGGGTGTGCTTCTTGACCCAGATGGTCCCTCCCTGCAATGTCTTTCCATCTTGGCCCTTCCGCCTTCGGAATTCCACCGGAATAGACCCTCTTCAAATGTCCCCTTGTGGCAGTCCCAAAAGCAGAAAAGCAGCAGCAGGGCACCACGGCTTGTCTGGTAGTTCCTTTTTCTTCGACATGAGCTCCTCAGCAGCCCACAGTAGCAAGGCAGGAAGCAGAAGCACCCACACCTGACCACTCTGGAGCAGAAACTAAACAATGTGCAGGCAGAAAAAATACTGCTGAACCCAATACACTATCACACTTCTTGTTCTGGTCACTCCACATGAACACCTCGTGTTGCACGATTGCATTAACATGGTCGCTGGGCTTGGCTTGGCTTGTGTTGACTTGACTTGGCCTGGCCTGGCTTGGCTTGGCCAGTGCCCACATTCCCGCATGGCGCACTCCGTTTGTGCGGCGTGCGCACGTTATACAAACACAAAAGCGATAAAAATTCTTTTTGTTTTCTACTCGTCCCTTAACGTGGACCAACAGCTAACAAATCCCCTCCCACAGCCCCGCTTCGTTTCCCACCCCATGTCCTGCATTGAGCCGGAGGGATGGCTTTCTCCAGACTCCTCTTGGCTGAACTCGACTCCGAATAGAATGCGAGGTGCGTTTTGGAGCGCATAATTCTAAGAAAAAACTCTCGTTATGTTTGTGCAAATTCGATAGTTGTTTTCCCCTTTCGTCCTCCCCAATGGATGGAGTTCCCTTTGGCCGGTCCCTAAGGGGTCCCTGCAACCTGGGTGGCTGAGAAGCACGGAGTCGCCCGGGGTGTCCCCGCTGCTGGCAGCTACACTCATTGGACTCACTCTCACCAACCTGTGCAAAGAATTGTAGCCCACTAGAGGTTGCACCTGAAATGGAATACGACAGTGGGCACAGTGTGCACCTGGAGGGAAACAAAAGCCAGCAACAGCGGCCATTTTGGGGATTTCTGCAACCCTGTATTCCACTCTAACATCGAGGAGGGAGGGCACACAAAGAGCGTTCCCAGCTACATTGAGACCAATTGGATAGCCAATTGGAACCAATTTGTAGAAACCAGTTGTGTTCTGGAACTCCCAATTGGAATTACCAACTGTATTTTTTCTTACTGGAACCGTAACCTATTGTTGTATAGGAATCCATTTGGAAAAAAAAAAATGAATTTTTTTTCCATGGAGGCCATACCCAAATATGTTTGGGGGAGACGTGGTAACCCTGGAGCGAGGGGAGGAAAAAGGATGGGCAGACGAAACTCATTACTTGCTGGGGGCTCCACTTTGATTCCACTTGGTAGTTCAGGAGGTTGTGCTTGTTCACGGTCAAGCACGACCTCTGCGAGGAATTCAGATTGGATATAAATAATGATTGAGATTCATTCATTAACGCGAATCACTCGAGGTGTCTAGGTCTTTTTAAATAGTTAACTCGCCTAGAAGTGTCGGATGTTCCTCTCATCCTTTACAGATATAAGGAACAGCAAAATTTTAAAGGTCTTTATTTTTTTATTGCTTTTAGAGAGGGAAATAAACTAGCAAATACTGTAAAATATGTGAATTAAGACTTGATACCTAACTACTACTCAAAGCAGAATCCTAGCTGCAGTCGTAGTGGTCCTGACCTTCCACTTAAAATGGGCAAAAATACCGTAAAATAAAGGGCAAGGGCCCACTTAAAATTTGGAGATACAGTAAACTTTCGTTAATTCGACCTCAACGGGACCTTGAAATTTGGTCGAATTATCCGAATGATCAAATTAAAAAAAAGGACAGAAAAACGGTTAAAATCAAACTTCCTTTTATTGTCCAAAGTACTCACGAATGGTCTGCTGCCATCTGCGCTTAAAATGCGCGTCCAAAAGCATGCTTCGGAGAGCAGCGTAACTAAACGCTAAACGTCACAACCCCAAAAAATCGCGCAATACAAAAAAAAAAAAAAATGAAAAAAGTAAGTTTTACGAGCAGACTTTGCCGCCAAACCAAATTCAACTCAACAACAAAAAACAAAAAAAAAAGAGAGAATTTGCGTTTTTTTGACGTGCAAGATGGACTGACGCGATGCTACAGAGAAGCGTGCTTTGAGAGCGCGCGCTGAAATAGCTTTGAGGTGACTTTGGCGCCAAACGGCCAGACCGTCGGCAACCAAAAAAGAAAAAGAAGAAAAAAGGAAACGTGAACTCGCGCTTTCTGGTGCGCAAGATGGAGCGCACACAATGCTACAGAAAAACGCTTTGAGAGCGAGAGCGCGCGCTGGGTCATGTGCACCCGACCATGTGCCATGTTCTCCGCGCTACTCCACGCCAGGTTGGTTGCACTGGCTCGTGTCATTCGCTAAGGTCCATCTCAAGGGCGTAGAAGAGCAGACGCATATTTGCGCACGTTCTTGCAGCAAAGGGTCAGTGTTTCGCCGTACGTTGGTGGTTTTTCTGCAGGGGTGCCGTGCAATGAGGTGAGCCCACGTGCATTCACTCGGGACGAATTATACAATACAGTACAATAAACTTTATTTCTTCAAAAATACTGGAGGGGTCCCGAGCCATAAAGCTGCTAAAAGCAGCTTGACTGGGTTCCCCTTATACATGGCAGCAGCTCGGACAACAAGCATAGGAAACACTTTACCAGGATAAGAAAAATAAATCAAGGTCACGTAACATTGAAGTAGCAGAAGAACAGAATTAGTCATGAATACTTGAAACAATTGGTACGTAAGTCTTTTTTATCCAATGCGGAGTCTTCCAGAGTTCCAACTATCGAACTTTTCCTCCCATAGAAATGTAGGGGCGCTCGCCGGGACTTTTGAGCACGATCGAATTAAACGAAAAGTCGAATCAACTGAGGTCGAACTAACCAAAGTTTGCTGTAATGTGAAAAAATAGGGGATGGGCGCTTGTCTCGTCATCAGCTTTACATATCAGTGTACTGCGCGTATTTCCTCAGATCTTGCAAATTTGGGTGGGGGCGCTAAATGGTGGAATGGGTGGATGCGCGGTATTCTACAGGAGGACCCATTTTTCCCATCGAAATTTTTTGAAAAACACTTATAACTTTTGAATCGGATACGTGTTCTTGCCGAAACTGGGGCGGATAATGAGCATTGGGCGATGCGTATTTTCTTTGGCAGTTTAAAAAAAAACTTTTTTGGGGGGGGGACACCCTGGACATTTCAAATAGTTGCCCTCTATTGTTCAAAAAGGGTGTTTTTTTTAAAGCGATTTATTTGATTGTCAAAGCAACATGCTTTGGCTCCTCTAATGATGCGCAGCCACTCTGGTAGATGTGCCCAGTTTCAGCTTAGGATAGATGTTGCTACCAGCAATCATTGGAGCTCTGGGAACGCCTAACCATGCACTCTTCTCTCCCAAATGTGACGCTCTCGCTGCATTGGCTCTGATGGCTCGTAGCCTGCAGTACACCGGGAGGGGAGTATGGCATCACCCCTGCACAAAGTAGGCTTTTGGAGCGAGTTACTTTATGCAATGTTGGCTCTGTTGCCGTTTTCTCAACTCCCTAGATTTGGCTGGTTTGGCCCGAAAAAGGCTCTAGCGTTCTGCAGCCAATAAGATACGATAGGAATTGTTGCTACTAAAGTCGAACCCCGCAATAACGAAACCGCCGGGGAGGTTAATTGTTTTTGTTCTCGCTAGAATTTTGCTGTTGCGATATGGACAAGAAAGCGCACCTATTACTTTCCATGATGCTGTCCTTGGATTTCAGAATCGTAGAAAATGAGCTGCACTGGATGCTGAAGTCCTCCGCAATATCGGACTTCTTTCCGCCTTTCGCAGCTTCGGCTATGATCGCAGACTTCTACTGAAGCGCCGAAACTTGCGCTTTTTAACGGGAGGCGGCATTTTTCCGACAGGCCACACGAAAGGTAGTAAACAAGGCGCGAGCGATCTCCGAGTGCACGCGGCAGACGGCGAAATGGCAGCGGGCGGCCGGCGGTGTCGTCGCGTGAAACGTCGCATACCTACGTAGTTGCCAGCGGATGGGCTGGCAAAACACTGTTTTCAGCAACCAAAAAAAAAAAAAAGAAAAAAATCTCGTTGCTTTTGTTATAACTGTCCGACCGAATGCAAACAGCAATGGCTGCACAGATGCTTGTTGGAAATGTATGTGCCTGACTTGTCGGATGAGTGTGCTGCTCCACTTCTCATACTTCTGGGTTCCCAACTGGCTCATGTGCCGAAAAACTGTTGCAGATCACTACCTGAAACTTGTTGATGTGGGACTGCTTTTTAAAAACTCTTCGCTGTTGAAAGGGTGCAAATGCATTGAACTCTATGGACGTTTGCCGAGAATTTCGTCCTTGAGGGGTTCAACTGTAGTAACTACATTGACAACCCGCGAGAAAACTAGCTCTACGGCTCGGAGAGACCCGGTCGAACGTTGATTGAGGAAAACCCTGTGGAGCTTTTTGCCCCTAGCGTGGCCATTGGGTTAGCCCTCGAGCATTTTGGGTATTCCTGCCACTTGGCACGACTGCAAACAAGTTGGGCATTTCAGCTGGCTCTGGGGAACGTCATCTCCGCACTGGGCGACGCCTCCGGCAAGATCTCTCACGTCCCGTACCGGGACTCGAAGCTGACCAGGCTACTCCAAGACTCGCTGGGCGGGAACAGGTCAGCTCTCTCGCAAATATTTGACTTTGCATCGAATACAGAATCAAATACTTTTGAATTTCAATACTCGCCTGCAATGTCGATTAAACGTCGGTAAGTTAATAAATCGCAGCTGGAATTTGTTTCTCCAGAAATGTACATTTTGTCATTGTAGAAGCACAAAGACAATGTCGGCTTCAAAAAGACCTGCATCAAATTTTTTACTTGTTAGGTTAATGGTCGAGGTGAACATCTTTGGCTGTGGGGATCGTTTTCACGACAGCCCTTCAATGCAAAGGGAAAAAGGCAGCACTGCCTCGTTCACGCTAGCAGTGTTGCACGCTAGAAATGGAAGCTGTTTTATTGCATAGAAAACAACTACTTCGGTTCTAGAAAAAGAAAAGAAAGGTGAGTCGGGTAATGCGGCAAATGAAACAGTGCCCACCTTGTCCATTTCGATATATGTTGGCAGACTTTTATGCAACTGCCGTTTAGAAACGGAGATGCCCTGCCACTTGAGCCTTTCTCCAAGCACGCCAGTGCAAAGCTGCCAGGCTTAAAGGGGACATGCACCGGGGGAAAGCGGGGATTTTATTATTTACGGTAACTGAATGAAATGTTCAGTTTGTATTTCTTTTTCTTTTACAAACTGTTTTGATATAGCTTGTTTTTTATGTTCTGGAAGGAATGCACATTATGATATTAGGTACTCGAGTTTTGTGGTTTCATAGAATCTTGGTGGAACGGAAACGTTTTAGTGGATATACTAGCCTTTCTGGAATTTTACATAAATGATATTGACCGGCTACATTAGTAACCGGTCAATATTGTACTTTTACGATTATTTATATTTACTATAATTACAAAATATAATCAGTATCTGAGCTGATCCCTTAATTATTATCGAAGATTGCAGTTGTCGTTTAATTTCTGAGCGGTGCACCGATACACGTTGGCTCCAAAAAAGTCGATGGCTGCCCCAGCATTTTGCCCAGTACAAAGTCTGCTACAAAAAGCCGCTTCCATCACCTTTGCAGTTAAAACTCGACCTAACAAACCAGAGAGGGGGGGCCACAAATTCCTCGGTAAAATGGGGAACTCTATGGAATCAAAAATGTGGCATTCAGAGAGCTACGCTAACACCTGAATCCCGAAGGGCTCACGTAGGAGTTGAGTTGGTGAAGGAACTCCAGGGGAAATGAAGGTTTCTTTCTGACATGGCAATGTCATGGGCAAAGCATGAGAGCCAGCAGAGAGGCAAAAGAAGACTTTTTTCAAGGGGGTAGGGAGAAGTGTCTCTTTCCGATGCCGAGCATGCGTGCTCCACAAGAGCTGGACCGTCGATGTTGCCTGGGCCCCACAGAAGGGTGAACAAATGAAGTGCCTCGAAGCGCCATCTGGCAGAATGGACTAGGAAAAGCCCAGTTTGTTTTTTCCTCGTGCAGTCTTATTGCTCACATGCCAGCAACAAAGAGGCAGTTTAAACAAACACTTTTTTTTTCCGGGATTGCTTAATTAAATCGGGTCGGCGGTCACAATTATGCGGTTATTTTGAGGTAATGAAAGCGTAGAGCCCCAGTGGGAGTCTGTGGGGAAATTAGAATATGTTGGTTAAATCAGGAATTTCGTAGATTAGAGTTTTTTTTTGAATAGTTGAAAAACAGATAAGCAAATAAGCGCTCTGAATTGATCTGGATGGCAAAGGCCATTTGTGTATTTGGTAGTGTAGCTTGGAACGTTTGTCGGTAAGCCGTTTGTGAACCCTGCAGCCGCACCCTGATGATAGCGTGCGTGTCGCCGTGTGACCGGGACTTCATGGAGACCCTGAACACGCTGCGGTACGCCAACCGTGCCAAGCACATCAAGAACAAGATCACGGTGAACCAGGACAAGTCGAGCCAGACCATCGCCCTGCTCAGGCGGGAGATACAAGACCTGCAGCTGGAGCTCATGGAGTACAAGCAGGTAACTTCAAAGATCAACCGAGATTCTCTCTATCGAAGAATGCTTATTAAAGATTTGATGGGTATTAAACTTTTTCCTGGGTACCGTATTCACTCGCATAGTGAAAACTTTTTTCCCGAAAAATGGACACATATTTGGGAGGGGGGGTGTTCATTGCACGGGGTAAAATTTTTGCATTTACACAGTTTGTGCAAATGTCATATTAGGTGCCCATATGACACGGCAAGGTACTGTGGCAGGTCTCCAGCGATGGTGGCACACCCACGGCTGGTCGTGGGTGCACCGCAGTAACCATGATTTATAAATTGCAAACCCTTTTAGGGCGTTTTTGGGGTTCCTTTTGCCGAAGGAAAAGCACGCTACGAAGCTCACTCAGCACGAAAAGCAACACGACCGTTCTTAGGCGATATATATTGCTAGTATCCGGCGGGCACGCTCAGGTATAATCCGCGATTACGCATATAAGAACTTGTACAAAGTCCAACCACCAAAGCCCGCCCGCACGGATCAAGCTTCATTCATGGAGAGGCTACCAGACACTCTCAGCCTACAGCGCAGCGTATACCTTGCTGTGCCATTTTGTTGCGGATTAAATAAATGCATTTAAATCAATAAATAAATACTATCAGTTTACTATCAGTTTATGGTTGGGAAGGTAGAAAGGGAAAAAAAGCTGCAACACGGCTTGACTAGTCCCGAGCCACCTGAATAGCAGTTGAGACGCAGGCACCAAATTATTTCCACAGGATTAGGAAAGAAATGAAAACACGAGAGAACACGAGAGAAAAATTAATTAGTGTCATTATAGATGCAAATTCAGTTTGAACAGACTTGCATTAGCAGACAGAACAACTTTAACTCCCAAAAAGTAACACTTCTATTCATTTTGGTTTGAGATGAGTATATCCACACTTGGCTTCTATTAGGTTTGGTTTTTAGATGAGAATGATTGATTCCCTTAAGCTGCTCACCGACACCTTGTTAGTTCTCTATTTTCCCTACTGAACTGATTCAGTGTAGTTGGAAGGGTGTATGATGTAGTGCAGTGGTTCTCAGCCATGGATGTGTCGGGGATCCCTTGCGTACCGCTGGCAGTGATGGGGGACCCCTTCCAGCCGGGGGGGGAGGGGGAGGGGAGAGAGAGAGAGAGAGAGAGAGAGAGAGGACGAGGACGTTAGTAAGTTAACACATCTGGAGCATGAAACAGGTGCCTTTTATTGCTACGTAGCAGAAAAACATAAAACAAAGGTGCCACATCACTTCATTTTGGTCAGTTCATCAAAACATGCTAACTAAAACAAAAAAACAAAAAATTCTTGGGTGTTTTGCGGACCCCAGAAGTGGCTTCGCGAACCCCCTGGGGTCCACGGACCCCATTTGAGAACCACTAATGTAGTGTATTGTCCGTAATTAGTTCTAAACAATGGTACTTCCCATGGTTTACAGTTCGCGTTGGATATGCATATACCTTTTTTGTTAGGTTTGCTAAGTCTTCAAGATAATGCTGAGATTGATGTTTTTCTACCATATATTTCGAACATAATCAACATTTGTATAAATCAAAAATTTTCATTACTCCAAGTGGATTGAAAACAATGTTCATTGGATAATCCAGCGTAACATGAGAAATGCTTCTTAATATTTTTTTTCTTTTTTTGTAATATAAATACCCAGAGTATGTGAAATTAGGCCTAACCACTTTCACGATTTCACCGTCCGAAAGCGGACCACACACGACTGCTTGTTTGTTGACATGAATGCATCCGATAGGTGAAGAATGACCGGGGTTCGGCAATTCCTCGACCCAAGCTTCGTTGAGTGTGCGCCACACTCGTATTGAAGTTTAATTATGCTTCCTGGCTAAGTTAACTGGTTTCCTCCCCATTTGCCCCCTCTTATTACCTAGGGGAAACCCCCTCCCTGTTGGGAAGCGCTCAAGTGCCATCTCTGCGCTAGAAGGCGAAACAAATAAATGCAAGAATGCAGAATTACACCAAGTAGAACTACAACTGAGGGCACTCACGCAAGATGGGTATGAAGAGCATTTAGGAATGCTCTTGAATTGTTGATGGTCACTACAGATGATGGAAGCTCTTTCCCTTTGGAAAGGGCGAGGGGAAGGAGTGGTTGATTGAGAGCATTGGTCTTGGCAAAAATTGTTTTGGTAGCGCGGGAGTTATTTAGGAGGTCTGTTCCCCCAATTGGCCCCGATGGAACGTGACCATCGATCGCATTTGGGGAGGCTAATTAACCACCCAGGAGTTAGGGGGTCTCGTATCGCAAATTTTATGCTTGTTTTGTAATACAATACACCCTCCCGTTTGGAAAGGTTGCTTCTCTTCTAAGCATGCAACTGCAATATTAATTCTTTAGGAAGCGTTGACTGCAGAGCCCCGTTGAGTGCGCTTCTTACCGGGCCTCAGTGTACTGCGGAAAAGCAACACCCGCAGAAGCGATCTTTCCAGGTGTTGCTTTTTCGGGGTACACCAGTGCTGGGTGAGAAGCACACTCAATGCGACTAACCTTTCGCGATCGGCACTTTAAAAAAAAGAAAACGATTGTCGCAGTTTACCTTGATGCGAATATTGAATAGTGTACTATTCGAAGCTACTATTAGAAAGGTTTAATATTTGCACAATCCCATTCGTCGGTTCTATCGCAAAATCTGTTTTATGCGACATTTTCTAGGAGAAAATTGTCACGAATGAGCGTTGTAGTGAGCGTGACGAACGAGTGACACTATGGGGTGTTACAGGCAATTACCGTGATCACCCTGCCGCATTAAATTCGTAAAAAACTTTCAGCCTTTTACTCTGGCGAAGAAGGAAGACTGGTGAAGCTGTACTATGCTGGGAATGAGGTAGTGGCCGTCCGCAAGTGGGCAAGCCAGAGTGGAAAGGCTGGAAAAATTGCCGCCATCTATGAGCGACGGTGGCAAGCAGACAGCCAGCTAACACGACACTCCGGACAGCTACCGCCCTCTATGAGCGACGGTGGCAACCAGACTGTTGTGTCGACATTTGTTTGGTACCGGACTCGATCCTGGGGAACCCAGCCCTTAACAGCTCCGCTCTGAAAAGGAGGGTGGACTTTGTTTCGGTGCGTAAGCACAGAAAGGTTTTTTTTGTATGTACGTTGTGCAACTGTACAAGCGATATATTAAACTTGAAACTCTAATTAGTTTCATAATTTTATGCAAACAAATGCTCGTAAAAGAATGTTTTACTACCACAAAGTCTGTTGCTTACATTTGCGTGATGCAAACGTTCCGTGAAAGCATGCTTCTACCACTGCAATGTTCCCTTCATTAGTAAAAAAAGAAGAAAGCCTACCAGGCTTAACGATAGAGCGAGCCAGCGGGTGAAAGAAGTGACTAAAAGTGGCGCTGGGGGGATAGCCTGCAGTTACGTTATCAATTACATGGCGTCGTGCCAAGTCCGGTCAATCGCAAGGGCTCTTGTGCAACTTCCTCGTTTGGTGCGCACACGCCTGCATCCGTGCACGGCGTGCCGTCGACGCGGGTTGAGGCAGCGTTGCTTGGTGACGTGGGCGGCACCACCAACACCGAGCTCGGGATGCTTTACAAATGTCTGTGTACCTTCCAAGAAATCTTTATTTACCCGTTGGCTTTTTTTCAAAGATTGCCGAGGCTTTTTTTCGAAAGATTGCTCAATCTTGCTAACTGCAGCAGTTCCAGGAGAAGGAGCGGGTTTGGGGTGACACTATTTCAGCGGAGACGAACCTTACAGTCCTCGGTGACAATCCAGGATATGGAGCGTTCGCTGACCTCTCGATCCCCGAATGGGTTACTGCTTGCGTTATCTTTCCGAGTCCTTTTTTTGTCCCAACTCCTTCGTTTCGGTTTGTCACGTGCGTCCTTGAACTGTCGGGCCTTGGGCCGTATCGCTTGAGCGGTACGAATGATGGCGGAGTTTGTGTTGGGTTATTTGTAGGGGCGGGGAATCGGTGGGTGTTCTTTTGTTTTATTTGAAAATTGGTAAGTGGGGTGAGACGTGTTGGGGGATGGGCGATGACTCCAGATATTACGGTATGTATAAAGTGGGAGCCCCTGGTGGGGCTCAAACCTGGGTCTGCAGTGGCAGTTGGACACTCTAGCCACTCAGCTGGGGGCACAGCTGATCTTGAGGGGTCAGTGGTTTTATTTTGGCGCACAAGTGCTGGCAAAGGCTTTGGAGGAAATATGCGTACCGTTTTTTTCCTGCGCGTACGTCGCATTTTATTTAAAACATTTCTCTCGGTGAGTCCCTTACTAGAACGAGATTTATACGCTCGTTTTTTTTTTTTTAAATTCGCAGTTCAACACAATTTTTTTTATGTGCCACTCACCTTTTTTTGTAAAGAACCGTAACTATGTAGCCATAGGTGATGTTGTCCCTTCCAGGAGGCACTGCTGTTGCCACACTCTTCTGCACTTTTCATTACCGACTCAAAAAGTGTAAAATTCTGCGGTTTCCCCGAAGCAGCTCAGTGTGGATGGGTGAGACTTTTACGGCGTGTGATGGACATTGCCTAAAATCAGCCGTCGTTCCGTATTCTTTTGCCTCTGTCCAGTAATACTGAAAGGTAAGGAGGCTAATATACACGCGTTGCAGAAAATTCTCTCGCGTCTTTCTAGGCTTCCCTTAATGAGCAGTTTTTATCTGCCACGCTCCAGCCGTGTTGCCATGTGTACAAGGAAGGATTGTGGCTAGCTAAACTTTCAGCGGCACCCAAACAAGTGTGTCGAGATGTATCTATCTGCCTGCGCATTGATGTTTGTGTCTGCGTGATTTGGCCTGGTTTAGACCTAGTGGTTTAAATCTTTGTTTGCACAATTGATGTCCTTTTGCCGCAAATCTTTCTGTTACAATCTCTATCTGGCTGCTAGCGCTACCAGATTTCATAGCGGTAGTTGTCGGTTACCTCGATTATCATCACGAGACATTAAAACACTTCTTCTTCAGTTCCTGAAGCGAAAAGAACGACGGGGTCATGTTTCT